TTATATAAGTTAAAAGAGAGATTGAATAGTATCAACAAAATTTTTCAGATAATAAATATCCAGAATATGACGATATTATTAAAAATTAAGATATCATTGTGTTTATTTATAAAAAATATAAATTTTAATTGCATTTTTCTTTTCAACCATTTTTAGTTTCTATAATAATATTTTTACTATTATTTTCAATATGCCTATTTTATTATATTTAATCCCATATAATGAAATATCATGGAATCTCATATTACTTTACCGAAATATGCAGAACTAAAATTAAGATTTAATATAAAGTATTAACATTCAGAAGTAACATGATAAATATTGCAAAATCTGATATTCATACTATAAAAAACTCACTATATTCAGTGATAATGAAAATATTTATATATTTTTTGGTAAGAGACAAATGATATTACAATATTATCATAATTTTACTAATAATAATGTTTTTTTTTAGAATGATTAAATTAATTTTGTATTTATATTAATCAGCCATTCATTTTTTGAAGATACAACAAAGCCATTTAGTCTTTTTTTATCTATTTCTCAAGTAAATCTTTTTAACTTTTTACTTTATAAACCTTGGATTCTCTAATTTCAACAACAGCTCTTATAAAGAAATAAAAAGAAAGGCAAGCTTATGAAACTCTTTAAACTTATTATTCTGAAATTGAGTGCACATTTTAAAGCACTTTTAATTGTTTATCATTTATATTTTCAATATCTAAACATTTTAGTTGTTATATAAATTATATGTTTTCGATTATCTTTAAACATGATGCCCAATTTAAATTTTCGTCTTTGAATTATGAAATAAATAAAATGCACACCATCGCCATTACCTTCTCAACAATTACTGGGGGATGAGACATTTTTTTCATCTCATTTATATCCCTTTTTGTCAATATATCCAAACTTTATTCAGCATTTTGTTTTCTCTAAAGTAAATCCTAAAAAAGATCATTTTCTGAATTTTGTTCCATTAGATATTATAATTTTTATTTTCTTCTCATTAAGATTTATTGAATTTAAGCAATCCTATTTGGCATCATTCGGATTATAGTTTAATAGGCTCTTCTGCTAACTAATCCAAAACTTAAGTAAGATTTAAGATCAACAAATTCTAAAAAATAATTAAAAATCTCTGGTCTAACTTTATTTAACAGATTCTAAGGATTTGGAATTTAAATATACAAACCCTTAAGTTAATTATTGGTTATGCTGAAATTGTGAAATATATTCTAAAGTTTGTAATTTTATTCTTGATTATTAGTTTGTAATAGCTCTAACTCCTTTTAAAGGTTTAGTAACATAAAATTAATATAAATAATATATATTTTTCTAATAATCTGAATATGTTATCAGAATTTATAAGTAATTAATGACATCATCTTTTCTGATCATTTGATATAAAGAAGCATTTAAGATAATATGAAATTATAAATTTTATAATCAGGCAAATAAGTTTAAATGATATGATTGAAATATTCAGTAATTATAATAGTTAGTTTTCCTCAGTCACATTTATATGTTGTCAATGAATTCTATCTTTGATTTCTATTTTACTATAATTGATATTATACCATCTGAGTAACATAAAAATGAGCCTGCATTCAAATACTGATAGCATATATTTTAATAACATCATTATAAATTGATTGAAATAACAATTATTATTTATATCCTTATCAAAATTATTTAATACTCATAATTTGTTTCATCTTATTTGATATATATTAAGGATGTATTAGAATGAGCTTATTGAATGAATTTGTTGAATAGTGTTATCTTAGAAACCTTATATTATGTATATAAAAGGTTGAAGATTGAAAATGATTAAACAAACAATTTTTAATAAAAATAAATAGATTACTTATTTTAATACTATGTATTGAAACACATATCAAAGGAATGAGTAAAGTTAAGCTAAGTTAAATATTTTTTTTTGCAGTTAATCTTAAAAGCATCAAATTAGTGAAATTAAAGTTATACTTTTTTTAATTTTCTGTGTTCTTATTATAAAATCTAATAATGGCATAATTAATAAATAAAACAATTATTGTTTTTGGATCTTTTCTTCTAGTTGAAATTTAGACCTAAATATATTATGAATAAATAATTACATCCTGATACAATAAATTTAATTGCCCTAAAATTATAATTATAGTTCAGATAATTAAAAACAATATAACTGAATCTCATTTTTAGCAAATGAATTAACAAGTTCTTGCAATACAATGTATGAAAAACCTGAAATAATTCCCAGATTTTTATATTAATATTCAGATGCAAGGGAGCTTTTATTAGAAATATTTATGATAATTACTGAAAATAATTCTAGAGAAATTATTTGCTGTAAAATTACTTTATTCACTTATTAAATAAAGAATAAGCCAAAACATATAAAAGCATTAGAAACTATGATTGATAATAATAAAACTTTATTTCAACATAGTTATCAGTAGATTATAGATTATTGAATTTGATGTTGTAATTTATTAAGAAACTCCATATATTTTAATTTATTATTTACTTTTAAATAGTTTAATAATTGGCTATAAAAGAATAACCAATATTTTAATTTCTTTATCACCTTGGTTAATTCAAATTTTATTTAAATCTATTAAATATTTCTTTTTCTTAATACTTTTATTAATATCATGTTATTTAATATTTGAGTTCTAGGTTATTTTTAGGAAGATAACAATGGTAATTAGATAAATTCTATTATATTTCAACTTAAGTATTTTATAATTAGTATCAATTATAAAAGTTTTGTTTCATAAATTAAAATAATAAAATTATTGAGGAAGATTCTCAAACCTAAAAAAATTATATCATTAATAGAAGAATAAATTTAGAATTGAAAATTTTTCCTTTTTTTAATATTAATGATGGTTAATATAATTGTTAATGGTTGGGAATTATTAAATCAGAATATCTGCCTGCTTACAATTTTAAGCATCAAGCAAATGAAATTAAATGTATTTGCCAAAGGCATTATATCAATATCAACTAAAAATTAAAATGAAAAAACCTTTCCTTTTTGCACAACTGATTATGTAGTTCGAAAATTGTATGAATAGATTAATATGATTTACTTTTCTTAAAGAAATGAGATTATTACATCTATAATTTCTACTCATAATTATTTTTAACTAATTAATTAATTAAATGATATAACCAATTAATAGTATAAGGGTTTGAATTTCTAATAGTTTGTTTATTGATTAGTAGGGGGTCTTTAAATTTAATAATTATTCCACAGACCTTTAAGAAAATCTGGGATGATTTCTTCCGACTTCATTGAATTAAATAATAATTGAAAATCAATTTATTATAAAAAATTTAATTCTTTGCCAATCAAAAGTTAAAAATTTAATTTTGAATATAGGTTAATAAAAGTTTACAAAGTGGGTTTGAAACAATTGATCACAACCAAAGAAAAAAAAGGAAGACGCAAAAATTACCCAACACAATCGATGGAACTTACATTTAATTTAAAGCTCTTCAGAGCCCTACCATTGTTGAAAGACAAATCAGCAATCACTTCTTAATGTAAGATGTATTATTTAACTGATTTTTTTTTCAAAACACAGGTTTGGAGACTATTTGATAGTCTGATTGAATTCTTGAATTTCTCCCAATTAATAATAATCATTTGAATGAGCTAAAGAAAAAAGGATATATGAATAATAGTATCAAGGTTATACTTATTTAATATAATATTGATTTAATAAACCCAATAATTTATAAGAATAGGATAAAGGCTAATAGAGCAAAAAAAATTGGAATTCTTGACCAATTAATCTTTTTTTTTTGAAAAATCAAAAAAATACATTTGACACAAAAGTAAAATTTATGGAAATGTGAAATAAAATTATGTGGA